GGGAGGAGAAACAATTTTACTTGCACATTAAAATAAATATCACTCTACATTTAATCTTGACACGATTCATGATGTGTTATGCAAACCGTATTAACATAAGACCTCTGTTTGTCCTTTTGTCTGTCAGTTTGTATCTCAGATTTGCCAGCCATTTAACCGTCGGTAATAATCGCTATTACTCAGAGATTATACGGAAATATGATCTTAATCCTGACAAAATATTATCCAATCACAATCCAATTTTCCATATCCCCTTCTCCATCTTCCTATGTCTCTGCCTGACCGTCTGCATCTCGGATTTAAAGCTATTTAACTTGGTGGTGTAATTACTTCTATGATAAAAAAAGCCTGAAAGTATTGAAGGCGAAATTACAATTAAATAATGCATATATGTATATATATATATATATAAACGTCTCTATATCGAAGGGAAATCCATGCCTGTTTCATTGTGTAATCTGCCAGTATAGAATGCAGTGAAATTATAGAGAGTTTTCTCAATAAAGTTCAACCGCATATATTGTCCTCTAGATCGCACTACTTCAGTTCTGAAATCGCCACAGAATTCACCAAGAAGACTGGCTGACTGATTACTACCGTCACGAATCTCAAGATAAGAACCCTTTAGACATCGTCCTGGATACGGGCTGCGCATGGTAAAGTTAAGTTCCACATAATGTCCTTGTGGAACTGAGAGAACTTGTTCTTTATGAAACTCTTGGACTTTTTCCCACACTCGTGCTTGTCTAGAATTCTCCAACAAACCTGCAATAGCTGTATCGAGCCAATTAGTTTGGTTGTAGCCAAAACAACCAATGCTTATCGTAAAGAAACTCTAAATGATATGTAACGACCAAGGGAAAGGAAGAATGTGTCATTACGAAAAACAAGCGCTTGCATACAATCCGAGCTCTGTTCTGCGAGCAAAATGACTCAATATATTAGATTTTAGACTATTGGAAAAAAACGTAATTAAAAATACAATTTACTTTATTTTATACTCCGTATAGGAAAGAGAGAAAGAGAGAGAGAGAGAGAGAGAGAGAGAGAGAGAGAGAGAGAGAGAGAGAGAGAGAGAGGGAGGCAGTACTCAGAGATCAACCTTTGCTTGAGCTGGGACAAAACAAATGACGATTCCAAAATCTTAAAGGGAAATTGATTTTAACAAACCCACACATTCCTCCGCAGCATTCACAGTAATAAAAGGAAAAGGAAAAGGAAAACATAAGTTTAGACGCTTTGTAAAGTATCTCGCTCAATAACACGACAGATATCAGGGCTGGAGCTCACCAGGCTTAACGTGTAGCCATTGTAAATGAGTCTCCGATTCCGACTGAAAAACTTGCCATCGATTTAGAATTAAGACCGTACATGTAGTTTCCTTGTGAAAAAGGTGTATGCAAGATAATTAAAAGTTTGTTTATTACTGGCTTTTAGGTGTAAGTATATTTCATTGAGATGATTTTGTTGAGTTTGGAAGAGTTTTATTTCACTTGAATTTAATCTCAAAAAATAGAAGGCGTCAGCAAAATATACTGCTGATCGTTACTTAGATCTCAGATGGGACACTGTTGTCGTCTTGGACATCTTCTTAGAAGTAATGCACCCCATTTCACAAGCCTAGTTTTAATTGCATTGCACTGTTATCCTCAAGAGGTCGTAGTCTCTAACTCATCCCTCAGCAGAAGCTATCTTCGTACATCCTTTAACTCTTCATTACCCTCCTTGGACGGATATCCCATTCATTATCTCCATTCACTTCCTCACCGCCTACCCTACCTATGGGGCCTCCTCTCTCCCTCATTAGAAAAAAATTATTTCAAATCGCCTAACACGTTAGGCAATGACTGTAAATATCTGTATTGCTTACAGAAAACAAGGATGAAACTCCACTTGGCCATCGAAGATACCGTCCTAATGCTGCTTGCTGAAGAAATAAAGTTGATATGCTTAATTTTCCTTGATTTTTAACGTAAGTGTCTATCCTTTCAGTAAACGTCAGTTGTTAATATTAATGTTGTCAACGCAAATTTGAAATTTAATATAAATACAAGTTATATCATAGG